TTTTTTTTTTTTTTACTGATTTAGAAAGGGGAGCAGGGGACCCTCTTTCTTTTGACCCGTTCCTCGAAAACCCAGAGGAAGCATGTAAAAATGGATGCTTTTATGTCTGCACTCTCACCTCCAGCTTACAGTACTGGAGGGGGGGAACCTAGAAAGTGGGAAGACAATGTACTCGGTTACTAACGTAACCTCGGTTCCCTTTTTCTCCAAATACTGAAGCCTTTTAAAATAACGCAGTGTAACTGCACGGCCATTGGCTCGTGCAGTGAATTAAAAACAAACCAATGGCGACAAAGCCTGGCAGAATGGGGGACACTTATAAGCGGACACTTCGCCATAGGATCCTCAGGTTACTTCGACTGAAGCGACGACCGAGTCGTGCAGCTACATAGCACGGCCAGCAACGCAGTACTCGTTCCCGTGTCTCAGAGAACCGAGGATACGTTAGTAACCGAGTACGTTCCCTATCGATACTCCACTCGTACTGCGTCTGCTAAGATGCTAAGGGGAACCAGTACAATCCCGCCGTGCTATGCTAGAGGAATGACTAATACTTGAACTTGCCCTGAGCACCAATGGGGCCCAGAGGGACCAGGTATTTTGGAGGAAAGCCCCGCAGGAGGCAATAGGGCCAAACATTTCATTTGGAAAGTCTCAATAGGGCCAAACATTTCATTTGGAAAGTCTCTGCTTCGTGACCAGAGACCCTTTGGTGCAGTCACTGAAGCATACAAAATGCTGTTCCGACTGCCTGAACGGGGCGGAACGCTCAATATATATAATTTCAATGCCCCGGGGGGTAGAGTAAATTCAGCTCTTGGTCCTGCTCCGAAGGAGGAAGCGGCGAAAGAGCTATTACCTGTGCTCTGAACTGAGTCGAGAGCGCTTTAGGTACATAACCATGCCTCGGCTTCAGGACAACCTTGGAGTCGTTGGGCCCGAATTCAAGACAGGTGGGGCTCACTGAGAGCGCCTGCAGATGTGCCATATGCTTTACCGATGCTAACGCGAGTAGCAGAGCAGTTTTTAGCACCAGGGGACGAAGGTCAATGGACTGTAGCGGCTCGAAGGGAGGGCTCTTCAGAGCCCTCAACACCGTGGGCAGGTCCCATGTAGGGACGGTGATAGGGCGAGGCGGGTTGAGCCTCCTAGTCCCTTTCAAAAAAACTAACAGCTAGGTTGTCTCTGCCCACCACCAGGGTTCACAACAGTATTTACCACAAACACATTGCCGTCAGCACCCGGAAGTGAACAGGGTGCTTGGAGGCACAACAGAGGCTGCTTGGGGGGTGGTCCGGCGATGGCGAGACTTTGCTCCCTCCTCTTCTTGTCCCGCAGATCAGGTTGACGCCTGAGGCACCGGATCCAGTACTATCTTGGGCCGGGGTCCCTGGTGCTTAGGGAATGGATAGAGTCTGGCCGAGCGAGAGCGATGTCGGGGCTCAGGGTTAGAGGATGACGGTGCAGCCGATGATGCGGGCTTCACAGGCTGCTGAGTCGGTGTCGTCTTGGGGCGACTGGCAGCAGCTGTAGAACTGGAGCGCTTTGGCAAGAAGTGTCGCATTGCCTGGTTCGTCTACTGCGCAGCGGTGAAGCGCTCAGCGAACCCTTCCACCGCAGGTCCAAACAGGCCAGAGGGGAAGACGGGAGTCGAGGAAGGGGACCTTATCCGCATCCTTGATCTCCTTGAGGGTCAACCATAGGTGGCGCTCAAGCACCACAAGGCTGGCCATGGATCTGCCGATTGCCTGAGCCATCATCTTCGTGGCGAGCAAAGCCAGGTCAGTCGCGCTGCGCAGCTCCTTGAAAGCTGCGGGGTTCGGTTAGGACTCGTCCAAATTCTGGAGAAGTTTGGTGGGCGGCCTTTGCCTTCCAGCCGATGGCCGTGGGCGGGCAGAGGTGCGCAGCCACTGACTCATCCAGGGGAGGCAGTCTGTCATACCCCTTTTCTTCAGTGCCGTCAACCGTTGTGAGGGCGGACAAAGGGGAGGCACGCAGGCGGGCCGAGTAAAGTGTGCGCCAAGATCTGGTGATCTCATCATGGACCTCTGGGAAGAACGGTGAAGCTCATCAACAAATATGACTATATAATGAGCAGAAAAATTTAGTTAAAAAAATTAACAAGATATAAAATGCAAATATGGTCGTGACAAAATATCTAAAGACATTACAGAACTTGTTGGAAAATGGACTCTGTGCTAACATTTGATGTGTGGCTTAGTGAGTTGATGAATATTACAGAGATTACGATTTATTACGAACAATGACAAGTCAGATCTATTTCAAGAAATTTGGAATCCTATATTAGATCACTTGGGTATATGATTGCTGCATATTGGTCATATATACTGTTTGTTTTAGTTTTTTTGTATTTTATTTATATTTTTATTTTACTGTATTCCTTCAAGATGTAATCATTGTGATCTTTTGATCGGTTTTACCTTATACACCGCATGTGCATGTGCAGGTATTTATCCCTGACAATTAATCACACTTTTTGATCTAGTTTATGTTGTATAAGAAAACTAAATGAAGTTAAAAAAATATATTAAAAAATACATTACAGATCTTGTTGAAATTACTCAAAATAAAAAATAAAAAAAAATAAAGCCTAATGAGTAATTATGTCTCGGTTACATATGTAACCCTCGAATTGGGATCTCACCAGAGAGACCAATCCACTTCGAGTGTATCTAAACGAGCCAATGGGCATTGGCATGCGGAATTTGCATCTGGCTGCCACATCCCGCAGTGCGGGTATAAGAGGCAGCAGGTGCACCGCATTCATTCATGCTTTCACTGAGGAGCCGAGCCGGTGACCCGGCAGCTTAGTGGTGGTACAGTAACTGTGGCGATGGGACATGACGTGACGTCTCCGTTCCCTCCTTTCAGGGAACGAGGGTTCCATACGTAACCGAGACGTTCCCTTTCAGTCGGTCACTCTCTACGTCACGTCAGGTGATGACAGACGAATTGAGATCCCTACCAACACGCCACAGGTGCTGCCCCCTCCAGTGCCCTGTGTAGGCCTCCTGATCCTTCCTTTATGCAGACGATAGGACCAGGCTCTACACAGAGAAGGTCAACTACTGCTGTTCCTCGAGCAACCCAACAGTAGGACTTGGATAACACTAGGAAAGTGTGCCCTATCCATTTGGAAGGGACACGCTGCGGAGTCACCTCCTGCCAGAAGGGGTTAAGTGACATTTACTCACGTGGAGTAACCCTGTAGGGCCCTACTGCACATGGAAGTCTCTGAGACGGCTCAGGCTGCATCATTTAGAGATGGCAGAACGTGGTCTGCCAGGGGAAACACGGCCCTAGTAACTGCACCGTGGAAATACACATATGGCATCCCAACAGGGTCACTCTCATATGGGCACTAGCCTCACACCAGATTTCAGGAATTCATTGGCTGGACGGTCTGCCACGTCTGGCCACCGGAGTGCTGGAGGACTCTACAGGGTTTGCCCGGTCAGGGAACTCTCTGGAGAATTAGGCGTTAAAGCAATCCGACTCGGAACCAGGCCTCTCAGTGCCACTACCCGTTTGAGGTGAGAACACAGGTTCTATAGCCTACGTGTCGAACCGGTTTCCTCCTATCTATAGAACGTGTTAGGAGTTGCCCAGCCCGCAGCTCTACAAATGTCTGCTAGCGAGGCACAAAGAGCCAGCGCCCAGGACGATGCGACACCCCTAGTGAAGTGAGCATGATTCATCGACCGAAAATGCCTGCAGGTCCCCCACCCTCTTGATCGAGGCCAATGCAGTCAGGAGTAGGGTTTTCATAGAAAGAAACTTCAACTCGACTGACTCCAAAGGCTCGAAGGGGGCAGTTTGTATGGCTCTTAGCACCAATGCCAAATCCCAAGAGGGTAGGGAGGGAGGATTTAACCTCCTGGGCGGAATTAGCAGCAACGTAAACCTTCAGGGTGGAGGGGAACAGCCTACGCTCCAACCCTTGCTGCAAGAAGGAAAGCACGGCTCTGATCGAACATTTCCAGAGGTCCTCGTGGTGAGAGGAATACCATTCGACGAACAGGTTCCACTTCAGAGCATAGGCCCATCTCGTGGACGGAGCTCATGCTGAAGCGCTAGTGAGCGCTACCTCCTGGGGTAGGTCACCTAGAACCTCCGCGTCCCATCCAGGAACCACACATGGAGTTTCCACAGGTCTTGACGCGGGTGCCAGAGGGTGCCCCGTCTCTGAGAAAGCAGATCCTTCCTCTGAGAAATCGGCCAGGGAGGGGCTGTCGCGAGGAGCATGAGTTCCAGGAACCAGGTCCTGTTGGGCCAATATGGAGCCACTAACAGGACCTGCTCCTCGTCCTCCCTGATCTTGCACAGTGTCTGTGCTAATAGGCTCACTGGGGGGAACGCATATTTGCGCAGGCCAGCTGTGTGCCAGTGCATCCGTGCCGAGCGTTGCCTCGGTTAGGGAGTAGAAACACTGGCAGTGGGTGGTTTTTGGAGATGCAAAAGGTCCACCTGAGCAACTTCGAACTGCCTCCAAATCAACTGAACCGCCTGAGGATGGAGTCTCCACTCCCCTGGAATTGCTGCTCGAGACAGCTCGTCGGCTGCCCGATTGAAAACTCCTGGGATGTGGATGGTACGAAGGGACCTCAGATGCTTCTGACTCCATGCTTCTGACTGTTGTCCAGGTGGATGCTGCACATTGGTGGTAGATGAGGAGATACCCCATACAATGTAAAGCACTTTGAGTGCCTAGAAAAGCGCTATATAAATGTAATGAATTATTATTATTATTATGTTATCCGTGCGGACCAGAATGTCCTTGCCCCGAAGGCACCTCTCTGAGCCCTGACACTGCGTGTCCGTTGTACGTGGCTCCCCAGCCGGTCGCAGAGGTGTCTGTGAATATCACAGCATGCCTGGATACCTGTTCCAGGGGCACACCTGCCCGAAGGAACGAGGGATCCGTCCACGGGCTGAAGGTTCTGCGGCAGGCCGGTGTAATCTGAACCCGGTGAGTACCACGTAGCCATGCCCACCTCAGGACTCGGCCATGAAGCCAGTGCTGAAGCGGTCTCATATGGAGCAGACCGAGCATAACTACTGTTGCAACCACAGCCATATGCCCCAGGAGCCTCTGCAAAATATTTCAGTGGGGCCGTCGTCCTGCCTGATAAGGTCTTGAGGCAGTTCAGCACCGACTGAGCACGTTCCTGGGGGAGGCGTGCTGTCTGGCTGACCGAATCCAACTCCAGGCCGAGAAAAGAGATCCTCTGCATTTGGCACGAGTTTGCTCTTTTTCCAGTTGACCCGAAGACCCAACTGGCTGAGGAGTCTGAGCACCAGGTTCCTGTGTGCGCACAACTGATCGCGAGACTGTGCGAGTATGAGCCAGTCATCGAGATAGTTGAGGATGCCATTCCCCGTTCCCTCAAGGGAACAAGGGCTGTCTCCGCGACTTTGGTGAAGACGCGAGGCGACAGGGACAGCCCGAAGGGCAGAATCACAGGAATGGCCTGTGCAGCGAAAGGATCGAGACATGAAAGTACGCGTCCTCCAGGTTGATCGCTGCAAACCAATCTTGGGGACGGATGCACTCGAAAATGTGTTTCTGCATCAACATCTTGAACGGCAGCTTGTGAAGCACACGGTTTAAAACTCACAGATCCAAGATCGGTCATGACCCACTGCTTTTCTTGGGCACAATGAAGTAAGGGCTGTAAAACCCCGACCTCATCGGCTGGAGGGACCGACTCTATTGCGTCCTTCACCAGCAGGACTGCGATTTCCACCTGCAAGACAGGTACATCAACAACCTTGACTGAATTGAACCAGATACCCCTGAACTTGGGGGGACGCCGGGCGAACTGAATCGCATAGCCGAGTCTGATGATCCGCAGGAGCCAGCGATACGGACTGGGGAGCACTAACCAGGCTCCGAGAGACCGTGCCAGTGGAACCAACAGAGCCACTGATGTACCCGCGGTGGGGCCTGTGACGGCAGAGGGCGGAGTCTGGGTGTGAAGTGTAACACTCACCTGATTCCTCCTTGTGCGGAAGAAAACACAGGGGCGTTAACGCTTGACGGAAGGCGTTTCTGAAGTTTGGTGCTGACGCGACCGTCATAGTGACAACAGCCAATCACATTAGTTTTCTGGTGTTGCATGAACGCGATTGGCTAGCATCTGCGCTAGGGTATTTGCATAAGGCGATCTGATTGGCTAACGCCTGCATTGGCACTTGAAAAGTTAAA